ATTAAGTTTGGTGCATTCTGATCGGCGTATACGAACATCATTACCACCGACGTGAATAACAATCCTACTGTATTTACGTTTATTTTTAGCCAGCAGTTTAAGATGCGCCTCAACGTCGCCCGCTCTGGCCCCCGGAATGCATGTGACTGTGGAGGCTTCGGTCTCTAATTTCACGTGTCTCACAATAGAGCTACCAATAACCAGAGTTGGCTTCTCAGCGGGTGTCTCGCTGAGTGGGGAATATATGTTAGATACGTGAACGGGTTGGTGGGGACCTGCGGGTTTCGCGTTATGCCCCTTCTGAACAGTCACCCAGTCTCCCTGCTGCTCGGGAGTTGCCGGGGGACGGCTAATAGGAGCTACCTTTTGCCGGTCCGCACCGGCTAACATGGGCTTTACTGTAGCTGAGTTACTTTCTAAGATGCGGAGCCGGGCTTCTATGGCTATGATTCCCGCCTCCAACCTAACAACTATACTACATTTAACACATGTACCGGTACCAGTAAAGGAGGTAGGGAAGTAACCAAACATGAGACAGTTAGAGCAGGAAATAGCACCCAAGAGTGGGGAAAGAGCCATGGCTAGCTATCAAGCTAAAGTAGCTACCGTTAGCAAACCCGAAAAGAGTGTAGGCAACTGTGGAGTTACAGTCGCTAAGAGAAGGAGAGTTGTGAGTGCTTAAGCTATAGTAACGTGTGATTACAACGTCAGGCAGTTGCCGTGATCAAGAGTTTTAAAACGATCGATTAAGTTAAGATAATAAGCTATCAGCAACAGAACAGGCACACGGGATACCCGGAGATGACAACAACCGGAAGTTACAACATGCTTACCGCAATAGAGCGGCGAAGTCCCTCCCCTTCCGGGAGCCTCCATGGGACCCCGGAAGCGGAAAATTATACATTGAAGTCAATGGAGAGAGAAAGGTTATCTTTTGATCCCGTTTGAATAGGCTACATGCACTAGGGTCTGAGACGTACTTCCGCCTTAGCCGTTATACTGCTCGGACGCTTCCGGGTTGCTTCTGGTCTGCGTAGCTGAGCGTCCACAAATATTTTACTGTTTAAATCTGTGGTTTAAATATGAGTCGACGGAAGATTTTCAAAACGGAGCATTTGAGTAAAAAACTACTCCGAGCACTGCTGTATCCCACTTTGTACGGCGTCAGCTAAATTCAACGGCGTCCTAAGTTTCCATGGCTTTTCGACCGAACTCGAGCTGCGAAGACAGTGGCTGGTTAAAATACGACGCGATAACTTTACAATCTCCTCTCACTCCAAGGTCTGCAGTCGTCACTTCGCTACGGATCAACTAATAGAGCCAAAAACCCTTGATGGCCGTAGGAGGCTTGTGAAAGGTGCTGTCCCAACTCTGTTTGAGTGGAATCACTTCACTGCTCAAACACCGCGGGCTAGTGTTTGGGAGAGAAGGGAGCGGCCCACTGAACCAGTCTCTCGGGAGGAGCAGGAAGAGCACATCGATGTCCGTGACCATGATTACTGCTCAACCCCTGAACCAGCTTCACTGGACATGTCCTCTCAAGCTACAGAAGACAACTCCAAAACAGTTGAGGATCTGCAGAAGCAACTGCAGGAGTTAAGAGTCCAGCGAGAGTTTTGCTTACAGCGGTTTGCTGGCTCCGACGACAACATCCGATTCTATACCAGGTAATGTTTTGGCTAAATTATATCCAAGTTTTTGAGATGGGTTAGCTTATAAAGAATCCTGTTTACCTGCTGACTATTTTCATGCAGTGTTGGAATAAGTAGGCTACTCAACCAGGGTCGGCTCTAGAACAAATCGAATGGGGGGGCAATCATTTACCAAGGGGGGGCACACACTGCCGTCAACAACCAACACACAAACACCAACGCAACTTCAATTTAAAAAAACATGCTGTAAAGTCTATTGTCTTTCACACACATTGCAGGGTGTAGTGCTATTGTATAGCGCACCTATGACTTGTGCATATATGCACGGTTGTGGCACAACCACCAAAACAGAAACATATGGACATAGGCCACCATATAAAAAGTGTGCAAATGTATTTTATATCCTATCCATGTGAACATGTTTTAGGTGGGGGTGGACCTAACCTCCTCTAGGAGGGTCTGGGGGCATGCTCCCCCGGGAAGATTATTTTTAAAAATTGAAGTTAAATGCATCAATCTGGTGCACTTTGAGAGCAACATGAAGAGATCTATGGATAGCCTACATCTCTCAGCATCCATATGAAACAGAACTGTACACAGATTAACTTTTTCTTTATGGATATTTTACTAATCACTCCCCTTTTAAACTGTATTCTTGTGTTACTGTCCAATAGTATTTCATACCCGTTTTTCATTTATTCTCTTATTTTTTAAATAACTAGGCTATAGGCTAATGATCATATACATGTGTTCCTCGCAAATACTTGTTTACATAAATGGTGACCAAACCGTTTGAGACCCACTGAGATAACTTACACTAAAGTGGACTATCTAAACACTGAGAGAGTCCTTACCTCACTGAGCTGAGGTTATACGATCCTCTCAGTCTGACAGGAGAGGACTCTCCTCCACCTTGGTGTAGAAACAGCTCTTTATATCTGTTAGCATAGCTAGCTAACCGGATGCTAACAACAACATTCCATGTTACCGCTCGCGCACTCACAAAATACGATCGTGCCACACACACAGAGAGCCGAGCTTGAATGAAACACAGAGACCCAGAAGTAGGCTACTTGTACTGTACTGTATATCATATTATTTTCGATGGCTTTACTAATCAGTGTAACAGATGAACAGATCGCCACTGGGCTTTCATCTAAACACACAGCCACGTAATGATAACAAAACAAAAGTCGGGGGTCATTGGTCAAGCAACACACCAATCAGAGAGCAGCAGTGAGCACACCTCAGGCTGTGTTTTATATTTGTATTCTTTATTTCTGATGTATTTCACACAGAAAACCTTTAGTGGAAACATTTTCACTTCTATGATTAAAAAAAAAAAAAAACGGCAAAGTGGCAAGGCTTGCCCACCCTGCGTTGGGGGGGCACAGTGACTCATTTGGGGGGGCATGGCCCTCGAATGACCCCCCATGACGCCGACCCTGTACTCAACTTAACTGAAGTATAAGTACAAATACTATGGTTTGAAAATACTCCTGAACTGAACATGTAGAATCATAAATCATGTGTTTTCATAAGTAACTAGAAACTATGAAGGTTAACTAAATGTGGTGGAGTAAAACATACTAATACTAACAACATACTGATAATACTTTACTACAAGTGGAAATCTTCAAAACCTTACCAAAGTAAAAGTACATGTCAATATCCACTGCGTTTCTCCCAGTTGCACACTTAAGAATGAAGAGTAAAAGTAGTCATTCTGTGTAAAATGTTCCCTGTATGTTTTAGATTATTATTACTGCTGCTTTAATGTAGTTGTTACATGTTACTGCTGTATATTACTATACCTGCACCAAGTGCCTTCTTAATCAGTCTATTTGAATTGTAATGTATTATAGCAAACAAGAGGAAAGCATTAGCCCATGTGTTACAGTTAATGAGTCAATTAATGACTGACATGTGTCTTTTGTGTACAGATTCCCAAGCTATAACCACCTGATGGCCTTCTGGTTTTTGATTGAGCCTTCCATTTATAAAATGGTTCGTGTTACAAGAGCGATATCAGTTGCCAAGAGGAATGAAGAAGTGGTTACACACGCACGTCCATCAACGGTAGGCTACGTTTCTTTTAACACACAATCTAAACACAAACTGAAGGGAAAATGTTTCTCCGACATTTCATTGCTTTCGTGTAGGCTAAAAGGCTATAGTACTCAATCCTTTTTGAATACATCAGAGAACTAAAACAACTTAATGTTTTTCTCATGGTGGGCTACACTCATGACATTAATATAGTACCCTTTTTTTGTTTATCTTCCAGAGACAGCTGCTTCAGCCAATTGACGAGTTCTTCCTTTTTCTCTGCTTCCTGTCGGTGGGTTTGAAAGAGAGGGACCTTGCAAACCGCTTCAACGTACACCAGTCCACTGTGAGCCGCATCATTGCAACATGGACGAGTTTTCTTACAACTTTATTGGGGTCACAGTGCATAGGCTTACACCTGCAGAAGTTCAAGCCCACCTCCCAGAGGCATTCAAAGATTTCCCAGACACACAGGTGATCCTGGATTGCACAGAGCTGAGGTGTCAAACACCATCCTCACTCCTCCTCCAAAGTGAAATGTATTCTACATACAAATCTCACTGCACCATGAAAGCCCTGGTTGGCATAGCCCCACATGGCGCAGTGACATTTGTTTCCAGTCTGTATGGTGGTTCTGTCAGCGTCAAGGAGATTTTCAAACAATCTGGAATAGCTGCGTTGTTGACTGAAAACATGGCAGTGATGGTAGATAAGGGCTTCCTGATCAGCGATTGCTGCAAATGCAAAGTGTACTGCCCACCTTTTCTGTCAAAGCAGAAGCAAATGCCAGCCTATCAGGTGAGGGAGACACAGGCCATTGCCAGACTGAGGGTTCATGTGGAGCGTGTCATTAGGAGGATAAAAGAGAACAAACTTTTTGATGGTGTCATCCTCCTGTCCCATGCCTACAACATCAACCAACTGTTTGCAGTAGCATGTATGCTGTCAAACTATCAGAACAAAGCACTGGTCAAGAAATGGGTGAAATAAGACAAGATGATGACACCTGTGCAGGTAGCTGTGATTAAGCTGGGTGAGCACACCGTAATCCCGTGTTGCCTGACACACGCTAGTGTTTTTGTTTGAATAAATGGTAAATAGCTAATTACAATGCGTTGATGATTTCTTACAAATGCAATGATTTACTATTCATTACACAAATCACTTCACTTTATTGTCTTTTTAAATACAATTGTATATTTATTTACATATATGAAATGTGACAAACAATATATATCAAAAACAAAATATTGAAATCACATTTTGTTGTCATTCAGAACACATGATCGAGGGATTGCCTCCTAAAAACAATGATGGCTGATCCAGGGTCTAGCAGCTAACTGCTTACAGAGTTAACAATGGCTACAGTGCCCACTACTTTTTTAATGACAGGTACTTCGGCATGTATGTGTAAAAAAAAAAAAAAGTCTACTTTTTCTCTGATTGCTCTTTGCACTTCTGGATCTGTGTATATTCTTTGCACCAGGTAGTCCTCTTGTGCCCACACTACAAAATCACACCACTGCATCCCAGATACAAGAAGTTGACCCTGTACTTGCCAGTAATAGGCATGGCTTTTCTTGAGCTTAGGGGAGCCACATTCTATCTGCACATATTTGCAGTCGACATAATTTGGGACATTGGGACATTTGAATTCAACAAGGCCAAATTGGGGATATTCTGTTGGGTCAAAAACAACTCCATCAGGGGAGGCACCAAGCCAGGGCCTAGAGGGGTGAATGACAAGGCCACAAGGGGAGTAGTTCACGTTTGCCAGTCTACTGTATGCAGCTGCTACTGTGGGCTCCATCTCGGCACCTCTCCTCATTTCTGCAGTCTGCCTTGTACCTTTGAGTATTCGCTCTGCAAGAGAGTTAGCAGAGCTCTCACCTCTGACGTGACAAATCTCTCTAAACCTAGAGGCAGTAACCCTGGGTTTGCGGAGCAGATGCCACTCTGAGCTAGAGCTTTGCTCACGGGTAGCCTCCTCAATTTTGTGAGACATTTCCAAATCAACAGATAAGCTGTTCATATGTAGTTGCTCCTCTTCTGAGCACACCAGCGGTAAATCACATGGCAAGATCACATACCCCTCTATGGGCAAGTGGGGTGTTGGTGGTGTGTCAGTGTGAAGTGTGGTGTGCCGAGACGTCAAAGCAGGCATCTGATAGGACAGAACACTGCCCTCCTGCACAATCCCGAAGGCACTTTCCACAAGGGGCTTGTCAGGTCTCATGTTCATTGTGGTCACAAGCGGCCTGTCTTCAATGCTGAATGCTGAGTATGCCTCCGTAACTCTGAACAGGCAGGGATCTGGTAATGGCCCCACCATGCCTCTGTAGAATCCACTCCTACAAAGAATGGCAAAGACAATATAGTACATTAATGTGACAATAAAGGTTAGGAATACAGCACCAGAATTATGAATTGTAAAAATACAGGAAACACAATTTTCCAGCTAAAATTACCTTACTCCAGTCTGCACCATCCTATTTGGTACAGGCTTGGTGAAGACCATGGAGTTGATGGGCCCTGGCTTCACACCCTTAAGGAAAAGACAATTACTGTTCGTTGAGTCACTTTAAAACAAAAACTCTGTGAAAGATTACAAGTATTTGAACCTCATTGAAATTACCATTGTTCTCGGCTTGTGCCATTGCTGTTCCGATTCAGTACAGCTATGCACAGGTGGCACAACTGGCATGTTCAGTTCAGTGTAGTGTGCTGTTTGGAACAGCAATGCTACTGTGTGATTGCACAAAACAGTTCCTGCAACACAGGAGCACTGGTTGTGCGTGAGCACCACTGGTGATGAATCACGAAGCGTTATCTAAAAAAGAGAGAAGAAATACTAGTGATTAGTAACCTCACTTGTTACTATGAGCCAGGAGGTTATTATGAGTAGAATTATTGGTTATTTTTACTGACCCATTATCCTAGAAGAAGCATGTATTCCTGAATGCTTAGTGTTACCCTCTTACCCTACAATACCACAATGAACTTTCTTTGGAAACTAAGATATTGAAAATTGTATTAAAGCAGTTTTGACTATATATTTTAACCCCCAAACTTACACATCCATAATCAATGTAATAATATCTGACCAATCAGCTGTGATAAAGCAGGGAGAAGTAGGACACTGTTGAGATTCCCTTAAGGTAAACTAATGTTTAACTGAACTGAAACTCAATAAACAGGGGGGAACAGTGTCAATGCTGCCTGCCTACACTCAAACTGTGTGCTGTCTCGCTCTTCCGCATTGACCTGTAGCACAAGGCTCTCACGCTGACCTGCCCTGTCAGCCTGTCTTTATTGGACACTGAATGAAGAAAAACAGAGCAACAGCGTTAGATCTATACTCACGTCAAAACATCTATGGCAACATTGCTTTAGAAAAGCTGATACCATTATGCAGTGTGGCTAACAACAAGACAACCTTGGCTAGGCTATAAGGCTATTAAACGATAGTATTTGTTAGCAAAATGGCTAATGTTTTAAATAATTAACACCAGAAACAGTACATAGCGTTACCCAGAGCCCTATAGTAGTCTACTATAGTAGTAGTAGTATAATAATAATAATAATAATAATAATAGTAGTTATACTATAGGGCTCTGGCGTTACCTAGCTTTTGACAGCTAATGTTAGCGTAACCCAGAGCATAAGCTAGCTGGTTAGTACCGGCTACCTTCTTACCTTCATAGTTGTGTATATATGACGCAGCATATAATTTGAAGCCTTTATCGAGTTTGCTGGCTGGGGCTTTAGTCGTCCGGCAAATCCGATGAACATCTGACATTTTTAATTTCGGAAGCTCTTGTAGGCAGCGGGTGTAGAAGGTCGTCATTTTCAAACAGGAAATGAATCGGCCGCTATGAGTAGAATGCGGAAGTGACTGTGCATGTAGCCTATTGTGCCACGAATGACACATATGATGTTTGTCAATTTAAAAGAACATTTTGCAAGTCAAAAAAATAAAAATGTGTCGTAAAACTGTGAAGTTACACATTTTTTTGTGTGAAACCGCTCAGTGAACTACAGGTCTCTGGTCTCGCACAATACGCGTCACCATCACAAAGACGGCCGTCACGTTAGCAAATATCACCTGTTTCTTTCAGAATGAGGCGAAAAGTATAAAACGAGGTGAACATCACTACAAGTCTGGGCATGTTGAGAGCTGTACATACACGAAAGGGGAGTTAGTCGGTTCTGCGGGACCGGTGAGTAATATGAGTGCAATGTGTAACGTTAATGTCAGCTAGCTAACATTAGCTAACAAGGTACACTAACGTGTATTGTTTTAGTAACTAGTTTTCTCTTTAACACTAGAACCGCCAACGGGTAAATTTTACCCGCAGCTGTTTTTAGATTGTATGTAACTTTTTTTTAATAACATATTAAAGTCTCCCAGTCCGTGACTTTTCCTGAAAGTGCGTTATGTAGCACCCTCAGTTGTTAACAATTGTCAATATGAAGTCAGATTGAAAAAATCGCCAAAAAAAATGCCATTATACCTATATCCGCCAGCGGGTAATATTTACCTCATAGAAAATGCAGCGTAAACATAACGTGTTGCTATAGCAACACCTTTTATCTACTGCGGTTCCTTATAGATAGAGAGATAGATTGAGAGAGATAGATAGATAGATAGATATATTGATAGATGAATAGAGAGATATATTGATAAATGAATAGAGAGAGAAATAGACAGATAGATAGTTATAGATAGTGTAACATCTTGGAGAATACAAGATCTTGGATGACTGAGCTCACGTTGAGGACGTAATGCATGTGTGCAGGTTACGTGCCAGTTGAATAAAGATGGACACTCGGAATGAGAGAAGTAGTCCGTGTCGTCTGTTTATGTAAACAATTATATGTCCATAGAACAGAACATTACAGATGGATCGATAGATAGTTATAGATAGATAGAGAGATAGAGAGATTTGTACCTAAACAAAACACAAGTCTAACACCAAGCGTTTAAATCAGCACTCTTAGCGATATGTTATACTTCATGCTATCTGCATGAAACGATATCAAATGAAGAGCTGAGAGTCCACAGATTATATTGGTATAAATGTCATCCCTGTGTGATCAAAACTCACTGTTCTGTATGATAAATAAAAGAACATTGTACCTTGAAAATCAATAGCGGGTACATTTTACCCGTTGGCGGTTTTAGGTATACAGCGACCTCTGGCGGTTCTAGTGTTAAGAACTTCGTGGTCTCAGTGTATGCTGTGGATAACATTAGTGTTCACAAGAACAAGGTACACTCCCGTGTTTTGTTTTAGTTGCTCTTCAGATTGAAGCGGACAGTTTTATATCGACTATACTGTATGTGTGATCTCCTTTTTCTCGTTGTGTCATTTGAGTTTATTTGCTGTGTGTAGATTCAAGGATTTTGGTTATCTAGGCACAGCTGTGTGTGACTCCCTCTGGTACACTGGTATGTGTTTTCCTAATGTAGAGAGCATTGATTAATTAATAAACTACACACTGAGTCTAGATCCTGACCAAATCCTTTTTTATTGTTGATCAAATGTTTTAAAAAAATGTATTCATACACATTTAGAAAAATACAATGTACAATCACAACCAATACAACACAAATTACAAAAAATACAGAAAAAACAAACAATAACAACAATCAGACAAGAGGACAAAACTATGGAAAAATAAACCCTCCCACCCCCAGATCCGGACCATCCTTGTATTATTGCTCATTCAATCTATTATAGCATGCTAACAAATGGTACTTACTTTATTTTTACAGATCTGCATGGGAGACGATGGCGCGATGCAGAGATACATCGATACATCGCCAACTGTCAACTGGGGGGTTGTAAACGAGGCCGAAGGGGTGAAGGCTTTTGTGCAGGCCTATCGGGTGACAGTGTTCGAGTCTGGTCTCTTTGTGAGTGAGTCGGGTGTTTTGGGAGCATCACCCGATGGACTTGTGCAGCCATCTGCCCTGCTGGAGGTGAAGTGTCCACACAGCCAGAGGAACATGACCATCGCGGAGGCAGTCCAGTTACCATCCTTCTGTCTCCGTGAGGAGGGTGGGTCATATATTCTCAAGGAGAATCACCCATACTGGCACCAGTCCAAGGGCAGCTGCATATCACAGACCGGAGTCTCTGCTACTTTGTTGTGTGGACCACGAAGGAGGCGATCATCATCCCCATCCCCAAAGACCCTGCATGGCATGGAAATCTCCTCCTCCTGGAAACATTCTACACCCAGCATATGCTCCCTGTGTTGGCCAGTAGAGAGGAGGACATTTCAATAAACATACTCTTAACACCCTCGGACTCTGCGTTGTGTTTCGTATGTGTGATGGGGTGTTATGCAGAGGGGAGGAAAACAGGACACAGCAGATTGGGATTGTGGTGGAGATGCTGAGCAGTTATTTAATTGTTGCATGTAATTATTATTATACTGCGTGCTTCTTAGTTATTCCATCTTTTGCTGTAACATGGATCTGTATGTAACTCTATATTTACTTGTTATCTACCACACTTCCTTCTACATCATACACCATCATTATACATGATGGTGTATATAGGATATATATATTTGTATATATATCTGTAAATTATTATTTAAACATATTTTTGATCTCTCTGTCTATAAACACAAACTGAGTAAGATTGACAATAAAGTTGACTTTGAAAAATATATATATTCTTTATGAAAATAGTTGACTGTTGGAGAAATGAATCCAAATGAAACGTTGGACTGAACTACAACTACGCCTTTAAATCTCTACGGACTGTTTTTCAGTGGGATGGCAAGTTCCTATCTTTAAACATTTATTAGTTTTTTCTCAGAACAGATTTGATTTTCTGAAGTTAATTTAACTTTGCCGACCATGTAAGGTCATTATTAAAAGGTACAATCAATTTGTTTAGGGTTGACTAAAATAATGAAAAACATTTCATTTGGATAATTTACTGACAGAATAAGAAACTCAATGATGCTCTACTCACCTGTTCCCTTTTCATAAAGTGAAACAGTTGAAACGATAGATTTTAGTAAACTTAAAAACAACCTTCTCCAAAAGCTATCAAGGAATATACCTTATACTTGTTTTAGAACTTTATTACATATTACATACAATAGTTTGAATGATCCATAATTGACAAAAGCTTGTGTTTATACTGACCTGTTACTCATATATTAATGTCTTTGTAACTTCAGTAAACCACTACCTCGCTAATTTCTTTCATTCATCACGGTTCAGTAAACTAAATGATACATGAACCAGTTTAATCATTATAATAATGTAGGATTGCAACTCTTTGAAACTAGGTGGCTCTTAAAAGAGCCGTTGTGTTTGGGTGTGCTGGTCTCAGGTCAGTCTAAGCCCTCTCTCCGCGGATGCGGCGGGCCAGCTGGATGTCCTTGGGCATGATGGTGACCCTCTTTGCTTGGTTCATCTTACTGGGGGGCAGCTACATGGATGTCGGTGCAGTCCACAATCATTGTGCAGTTGAAGGCAGAATGAATTTAGTATTGACTCCGAATGAAGCACAACTTCATGTCATACAATACAATGACTTTATTTGTAATTGTGTAAAAACATATGAGCATTGATTAGCAAGCAGGACCTGCAGGAACAGAGAATGGTGATGTATGGAGCTGGGAAGAGAGAAGAATAAAGAAAACAGATCAACTTTATTATCGGATATTAAAAATTCTATTTCAAAACAAGTTGCCGCTCCTACAGTTTTCTAGTATGTAAAGATGATTTCACATGACCTATGCAAAATATCACACTCAATACATGTGTGTCTCTGGGGGGTGCACTGTGCCTTTGATGTATATAAACAATATACCATAACCAAATACTATTACATACAGTGGAAATCAGGTTGCCAGAGCAGGTCAGTGTGCATGTTCCTCAACGTCTCAGCAGTTACAGGTGAGGTAAAGAAAATAAAAGAAAAAGGTCAGTAACAACACTTAGTTTAAAGTAACAACACTTAGTTTAAAGTAACAACACTTTGAAACACTTTGAATAATTATCTCTTCTAACAATTTTCACTCAGTAAGCACACAACGACTGTCTTTCCAACAAACAGATTGACTCACTCTCACTGTCATCACAATGAAACACGTCCAGAAGAATTGATTGATTGAATTGATTGATTGAAAAGTGTATTAACAGCTTGTATATTGGGTACAGTACAGTACAGCTCAAAACATACAATTGTTAAGGGGATGCAGACCAGAGAAAGACTTTCGTCTTGTTTACATCAGGGTCCCCCATTTCCAATTCATCATGTCATTTAAGACATATAAGACATATTTGACATACAGATGGCTTATTTACAATTTACATACAGGTGGTTTTTTACATACAGATTGCTTATTTACAATTTTCATTTTAGATGTCGTTCTAATACATCCTAACCGGACATTTAAGACATACCAAGTCTACAGATATACAGTTAGTAACAGAGTCTAAAATGCGAGTATATACATAGATGGGGGGGAAGCTGTCCATTGAACGACAGGTTGAGATTTGTACCATTACCGGGGCCAGTTTTGCAATGCTCTCCCCCGAAGGTGCTCTTTAAGAGAGGTTTTGAAGGTAAGTATAGTTTTACTTTCTTTTACAGTTGTGGGAAGAGCGTTCCACCTTGATGTGGCATAATTGCGAAACGTGTATTCCCCCTTTTTTGTGCCAAATCTGGGTTTCACATGATTTGTGGAGCTCCCTCTGGTGTAAGAATGTCATGCAAAGCTCCCTGCCTGCCTTCGACTCTCCCTGAACTGCTTCCTTAGCACCCGGTGGAGGGCGCAGTAGGCTACTCTTCAAATGTTTCACGAAATACTTACCATCATGACTACTCTTACTGTTTAACATTTTTGGTTTACTTCATGTAATAAAATAATAACTTCATGGTAAGGCTACTAAAAATGACAAGGCTAAGTAATGTAATGCTAACTAACGTGCTCGCTACTCGTCGCTACTAGCTAGGTAGCTAACTTGACTATGTTCCATGCACAACATGTATATTACCTATGATATTACCTGATATGTCTGATCCAGCGACTCCTGGTCCTTTCATCAGACGGGAAGCGATAGAACGAGCAAGTGGTATGATCACTTTTGTGATTACAACCTGTTACAAAGCACACAGGCATCTTGTAAAAGTGAACCAACCACTTGGAGCATTATCGCCGGTGACATCACTTACGCGACTAGTGATGTGTCGGTTTTAAGTGAACGACGGGAGCCGGCTCTCGCCCGCGAACGAGCCATTTTTGCGGAGGGATCTAGATCGGCATGAAGGCACATTATGCAATGTGCAATGTGCACATTATCCCGCTTATGACATGGCCAAATTCTCAACAAAGTAACGACATGACTCCCAATATTAATGGAAATGCTTTTATGGATTTAGAAAATGATTTTATTGATTTAAAAAATAGTTTTATGTATTGATTTAAATTGACATGCATCCGCTAAGAAAAGTAGTCCGTTGTTACCGTTTGAACTACGTAGCAACGGCAGGAACTGCTTCGATAGTGTTTTTGAGGAGCTTTTTGATTACATATTTGAAAACATCGTTGCTTGCTTTAAAAGTAGCACAATTCATTATGTCAAACCTTGTAGGCCATAAGGTGAACCCTGTTATCGTTTCAACCCGCTCCACAGAAGTGAAACTACACAATCTTTAGTTCATAAAAAAGAACGAGTCATGCTTATCCACCAAAAAAAATATCGTCGCTAAAATTCCTGCCAATTCTTCTAGGCACGTAATTATTGGCTGAACTAGTCCCTTCGAAGCGTAATAATATCTTGGTCCAAAGTCGTGCCACGGTTCGTCACGTGATCGTGCTACACCAATTGGGTAGCTGCATATTGTCAACAGAAGTGAAAGATGGCGGCCGCCATGGTTACGCTAAACCAGACCAAATGGATTCTAAACAGTGCTGTATGCTTGTTTTATGTCATGTTTTGTCATATGTCTTAATACATCACTAAGTCCGAGGTATTTGCGTTATATACGCGGTATTTGTGAGAGGTTTTACTATCTGGGAACAGAGTTGACCATCGAATCAACATTGACTAGCAGCGTTTATCAGCCAACTCCAGCTACAAACAATTTCCCCACGGGGATTAATAAAGTATATCAAACTCATATTTATCAAACTATCATTCCTGGACTGCCATGTTCACATCGCTAGGTTCATTGGGATTATTCCATTAGACTGAGGACTTTTTGTCTGTCTGTTGTTACCCTGTACACGTTAAATGCACTCTTAAAATAAACATGACTTGATTTCTGCGTCCAAGAAGAAGGTTAACTTGTTACGTTAAGTAATTTAGATCAATAAAATGCAGTACTTCCAGGCTGAAGACTTTTCTTTTTGTTGCTGCTTTTAATTGAACTATTCATATCTTAGACTGCACTGTAACTTTTATCCATGTATTTTTTCTTTTAATGTTTCTTTTATTAGCTTTTCTTTTGAATGACTGATTTTAAATGCCATTTTCTTAATGTCTTTAATTTTTTGTAAAACACTTTGAATTGCCTTGTGTTGAAAAGTGCTATATAAATAAACTTGCCTTGCCTTACTTATACCAATGTCCATTGATTCATTTATTTACTCATTCATCCCTCCACAAATGAAAACAACACTGATGAACCATAAAAACGAGATTTATTACAAATATAAAAGGTATGACATAGAAAACAGTAGAAGGACATGTAATGTAGTATAATTGATTGGTGTCAGGCTGGGCGGAGCGGCTGATTGGTGCTGTGATTGCCTCAGCTGGTTAAAAGAGTCCTGCTGATTATACTCTGTTCTAGTACCAAAAACAAACGTATCTATGAGTGATGTGACACTTCTACTAGTGTCAGTTGGGCAAGGCTAGTGTCTAGACTCAAAACTGTGTCCCATGATGCACAATGTCCCAGTCTGTTAAGCAGTGATACAATGCGTGATGATCCAGTTAAATGTCGAACAGTTAAACCTAAAGCCAAGGACTTGGGTGTCTGCTTGCGGCCCTTGGAAGCAAGGTACACAATGTCTTGACAAACAGACAACACTTTCAAATGTACGTCATCATCAATGTTGACATAATGATCCAGTGTTGGCTCCTCAGTGGAACCTATAATCCAGCTGAGCAGATTGTATAGTCCAATGGGGACAACAGTTTGAGATTCAGTGACATTTACATTTTCAGAAGTGGGAGGCCATGGGCATGACACGCCAGGAGTGTCACTAAGCAGTCTTTTCAAAAACAACGCTGCTGTATACAGTGTCCTTGTGTCCTCATGTGTTGTTTGGCACTTTGTTCTCCCTGTTTCATTGTCGCTGTCTGTCTGGCTCAATTCACTGGACTGTGTTGTTTCCGTACCGGATGGATCTGGTAGCATGTCCACGAGTGCATCCTTTGACAGAGTCTCAGCAAAAACCAGTTCGCAGACGTTGCGCTTGGTGGGCATGTGAAACGCTAGCTGAGGGAAATCTTGAGCCAGCCTCTTCTTCAACAGATCCTGTCTGTAACACAACAAAACAGTGACAATTACGAGTCACAGGAGTACCATCAAAAGCAGAGTGGTGGAGGTGATACAAGACATTACAGACTAGAACCTATCTGCCATACAGCACATTTAACACCAAAGAAGCCAAATAAAGGCCCACATCATCACAAACAACACTACACACTACACATCATGGGGGTTTCTCCAAACAGGCCTGTCATACACATTTTGTTTAAAGCTGGCCTTGCACATGATAAATAATAAGACTTGTATTACATTGCAGTTACCTGTAGTTTGAAGCATCAACACCTTCGTTTGCTTTCACCATGTCAATGAAGGCCTGCCTCAGCTGGCCCATTCTAAGCACCTCATTGTTGACAAGCAGCCTCTGGCGGATGATCCTCTCACAGAACAGCTTGTAACTGGCATCAAACATTGCCTCATCCCTACAACACATGAATGAGAAGTAAATAAATGGATAAATGAATAAGTGTTGTGATTGTGTGCACATATAACAGAAGGAAATTGGATGTTTACTTATAATGTTAAGTATGTGTATGTGTATATATATATATAGCCATCGCCGACACACACCTGGACTTCAGTCTGGTGGTAGTGCAAATAGGTAAAGCAATCCAAGGAGAAATAACTTACTGTTCTGTCTCTGGTTTGTCAGGTCTCAGCAAAAACATGGTGTACTGACTGTAACAGCTTTTGTGGTACCGCACCTCCAGAGCCACACAGTCTTTGTCTTTTATATGTAAAAGAACACTTTGGTCATCTTTCTTCTCAGCAGCTTTCTGCAATTTGCCTAAACGGAAAAAAAGGACAACTCAATGAGTTTGTTGACGTATCTCTCACACATAATTGTACCTTTCAGTTATTCAACCACAGAGAATGTGTGTGTGTGTGTGTAGTGTGTGTGTGGTGTGTGGGTGGGGGAGGGGGTTTGCTTACCTGCTTTTAATGTTTCAGCCTTACACAGTTGATCCCTTTGTCGCTTGCCTGCTTTGATGATCATTTTCTCCTTCATCTTGCATATAATGTACAGGGCAGGAAGGACGGGGCCAGAGCCTGCGATTGGCAGGCCTGACCTTGATCGTAGCTTCTCTGTTTGGCTTCGGTACGTGCTGCGAGACGTCGATGGGATGGGCTCGACCTCAAGGTCCTCCCTAACGTCTTGATCTCCCTCACGTGCGAGCCGTCTTTCCACCTTCGTCATGGCCTTTGTGTCGGTAAACCTTATGTAGCATGTGTGGTGGAAGCCAGCGTCCTCAGGAATATCTTCGAACTCGAAATCAAGACAGTGCTTGTGGTTTTCAGCCACCACGTTCCGAGAGTCTCCCTTCAAGCCGAGCGACCGTTGTAAGCTTGTCCTGTACGTATTCCATCTTGTATTGGTAAAACAATCAACCTTTTTGTGCTTCACAGACGTAATATGCATGTAACAATGTTTGTGTGTTGACAATTTTGACTTTTTGAGACTTTTTGGTGCGTTTTCCTCGTCTCCGCTACTCGATGAAACCATGGCGGCCGCCATCTTTCACTTCTGTTGACAATATGCAGCTACCCAATTGGTGTAGCACGATCACGTGATGAACCGTGGCACGACTTTGGACCAAGATATTATTACGCTTCGAAGGGAATAGTTCAGCCAATAATTACGTGCCTAGAAGAATTGGCAGGAATTTTAGCGACGAAATTTTTTTTGGTGGATAAGCATGAATCGTTCTTTTTTATGAACTAAAGATTGTGTAGTTTCACTTCTGTGGAGCGGGATTTCTTTTCTAAAGGACTTTTCGAGGTTCACCTTGCGGCCTATTGGAAAGTATCTAGATATCCCTGCCCTAATGCCAACTGAATATGTGTCGCCGTTTGATGTCTATGTCTGGACCGCTGCGTAAAAATGAGGGTTTCTGCCCCATTACTTCTCTTCTTACTTCTATAAGAATAATACTTTATCCCCTCTCCTGCAGGGGGGCGTGGTCAGCTGCAGCTCACGGAATCAGCCCCTGCAAAAACAGCGCTGGAAAGAGCAAATAGAGCGAAATGAGGCATGGCTAAAATGCAGGATCTTTTTGGTATTTTGAAAAAAAAACTATATTTATATAGTTTATATAGGTCGATACAGTTAGTAGTATTACACCTATAGTTTTTATAGGTGTTGCTATCTGTTTTGTGTAGTGTGGTTCTACAAGCAAGTCAATGCATTCATTGGGTGGTATCAGAGAGTTGCACGGTTCTGTAAATGCAATGAAAACAATTGGCCACAGCAAATCATTTATATTAAAGATGTAATTTTTACTTTTGAATACTTCAGTACAAAGGATGTATTGAATAATTTAAGTGATATATGTGTACACATATAAATCATTAGTAAAAACAGGGCTACTACATTTGATTTAATTAAAAGGTATAATATGTGGTAAACTGAAGAGCCGTTTGGGAGCCGAAAGAGCCGGCTCTTCTTGGTGAGCCGAGCCAAATGATCCGGCTCACCAAGAAGAGCCGGAATTCCCATCACTATACGCGACCCAGAATGGGATTTGGGATTTGTAGTCTTTGTAGTCGCGTATTTTTCATAGTCTTATATTTCAACAGTTTTACGACAAAATGTGACTTTTTTGATATGGAAATGATTGTTTAAGATTGACAAACATCATATGTGTAGTTCGTGGCACAATTCAAACGGGATCAAAAGATACGTTTTCTCTCTCCATTGAATTCAATGTATAATTCTTCGCCTCTCTATAGTGGTCCGTGTGGCACGTCTCTACTGGGAGTTGTAGTTTTAAAAGACGTTTTCGTATTTCCCATAATAAGAAGTTGCCAGTATTAAACTGTGTACATCCCTGGAGGTTTAGGGGATAGGAAACACTCACGTTTAAAACATATAATTAATAAATGGGTGAAAATTGCTTGTGCCCATAATGGGCAGCATTAATATATATACACACATGCCAGCTAAGGTCAGAAGAGCTTTATTTAACAGCTGGTCTTATGTTTGTGACCCCTGTTGTTAATTGATAACATTACATTACATTACATTACATTAATTGATAAGCCTGAAACATGCACTTGTCAAGGTTCAGAGGCACATTTTGCAAATATGGCAGTAGCCATCGATCAGCTTAAGATAAGATATACTTTATTGATCCCAAGTTGGAACATTTGCGTTACATCAGCATGTGTAACAGTTAAATATGCAGTGGTGTTTATTTGTAAATCATTTAGTATAATCACACAAATTCTGTGTTTTATATTCAACAATTCTGTGTTCTTTATTTATTGATTGTTCAATACCTGACAAGGCCGGAGATGAAATATCTACATACATCTTATAGTATAATACATTATGTATAATATCAGTTAAAATAAGTGCTTCAACATAGTTAACATTGCTGGAGGTATGCACAAATATTGATAGATGTCTTGTAATGCACTATTGAGGAACCTGCGACCCAAGTTTTTCATTCAATGCATAACTACACCATAGTTGTGTAGCCCTATATGATATGTCAATAAACCTTAGAAAATTTTGAAATCTTGAAAGGGATGTGCAAAATAGTCATTATATACAGTCTTTAATTAACTATTAGTAGAGAATAACGAGTAATGAATATACTTTATAGGGATCCTATTAATATCTAATAATACAAATAATGAAATTCAATGACATGCTTTAACCACTAGGTGTCCCTTTATATCAGCTGTGCACCTTTATGGTGTAAATATAGCCTATCTACCAATTGGATCAAATATAAAAGTCAGCCGAATTAGTGTTGATACTGCAAGGAGACGTATTGTGTGAAAAGAAATGTAAGATGTTGTTTAATGGCTGATATATTTATGATTGGAGACTGGAACACGGATATGCAATGTAAAGACACGTCCGTCTTCAAGTCCTTCAGTAGGATTTGTGATCTGCACGGCTTCAGCCAGCTAATCACCCAACCCACCCGGGTATGTGAAACAACACAAACTACCATTGATCTCATTCTGACCTCTGACAAGTCCAGGATCTCCAGTAAAGGGGTTATAGCATGCGGTTTAAGTGATCATTATATGATATTCTGTACCCGCAAAAAGCTAAAACAAAGGGCCGGCTGTCACAAAACAGTCATATCTAGAGACCTCAAAAACTACTCTAGCGAGGCCTTTAACCTAGAACTGGAGAGCCTGGACTGGTCAGATGAGCTCAGTGGTACACAAGTTGAAGAAACATGGCTTGGTTTCAAAAACAAATTCTCTGCAATACTCAATGATTTGGCCCCCCTAAGAACAACCAGGGTAAAAAATCGCGCTGAGCCGTGGATGCACTCCGGCATACTGACCGCCATGAAAACCAGAGACAAAAAATGCTCTGAGTTTCATAAAAGTCAGTCAATGCTTTCCAAAAGCACGAGCAGTGAACTCCAGGCCCACGTGACTGAACTAAAAATGGAAAGAAACAGACTAAGAAATGACGTAAGCTCCATGATCAAAACTGCCAAAAAGAATTTCATCAATGTCAAAACTGAGGAAAACAAAAATAAACCCCGTGAACTTTGGAAATGACTCAATAACCAGCTTGGCTGCAGTAAAAAACTCAAAACGAGATTTTCGAACTTAAACATAAAGACAGATAACAGGCTCATCACAGACAAACTGGATGTGGCCAAGTACTTGAACATTTTTTTCACAAACATAGCCACAACTCTTGTAAATAAATTACCCTCCCACTCAGGGCTTTTTGGAGTAGATCACATCATGACCTACTACAAAAACCTAGGGGTACGCAAAGATGATTTCAGTCTAGCAAGGGTAACAACAGCAGAGGTACTCATTAAACTGAGCGCCCTCCAACCTAACAAGGCCACTGGCCACGACAATATTCCCTCCAAATTCCTCAGAGACACAGCAACCGCCATCTCACCAGTCATAGCTCACATAATTAAGCTCTCCATAAAACAGGGAAAAGTACCCAAAGACTTCAAAATTGCAAGAGTAACCCCCCTGCACAAAAAGGGCAGCAAATTGGACCCAGGCAACTACCGCCCTGTTTCTATACTTACCTCCATCTCGAAAGTCATGGAAAAAATAGTATATGAACAGGTCGAAAAGTACCTCGCGGAAAAGAAACTAATCTATGAATTTCAATCTGGCTTTAGAACATCCCACTCCACTGACACATGCCTTCTTTATTTGAGCGACCACATCAAACAAGAGGTGGACGAGGGCAAGTACTGCGGCATTGTGATGCTGGACCTACAAAAGGCTTTCGACACTGTCAATCACCCCATTCTGATTGACAAGCTAAAAGCAATTGGTTTTGATAAACTATCGGTGAGCTGGATGCAATCCTACCTGGAGGGGAGAGAACAGATGGTGGAGGTAAACGGTACTCTGTCCCCCCCCCTCCCAGTGAGCTGTGGTGTTCCACAAGGAAGCATATTAGGTCCGTTACTGTTCCTAATTTATGTAAATGACATGTCATCAGCATGTGACTGCAACTTGTTCCTGTTCGCGGACGACTCAGCCCTGCTGGTCTCTGACAGGAACAGGTTGCAGGTTGAAAAAACCCTCAGCTCCGAGCTCAGCAGAATCTGCACCTGGCTCGCCGATAATAAATTATCATTACACCTGGGTAAAACAGAGTCCATTCTCTTCGGTTCGAAACATAATCTCAGCAAATCCGACGACTTCTCAGTTGCAGTGGGCGACATAATTGTCACAAGTAAGAAGGAAATTACATACCTAGGATCTATTCTTGAGGCAAACCTCTC